TTTTTCCCCCCCCCCCCCCCCCTTCCGCCGTGGGCAATGCTTCTATGGGTGCATGTATATCCGCGGCCCAGTGGAATTATGTTAAGGATGCATGCGCAGACACCCGAAATCCGGGCACAGCACATCCCCCTGGTGCTACATTATCTGATTTGGAACGTTAATATACCGATAGGTAGGGGGGTGTGCGTACGTTGCAAATGGAGTGTCCTGCATGCGTATGACCCGCTAGACCGTATAACGTGCATAAATTACTATGTGGACCACCGGGTTGTGGTTATAGCCCAGGACGGTGACGAGGTGGTGCCCGTGTGTTTGTAGATGAACTTGAAAACCATTATTATATACATTGCGACGATATTCTCGGTCGTCGACAAAACGGAACTCTACCAAACGGAAATCGGGAGCGCAAGTAGTCTCGGCAAACTCGAAAAGAATGTTGGGCGCCAGGTACCCGCAAAGGAGCACCACGAGCTCTAGGCTCGTTATCGAGACAACAAAGATCGCGAGAGATAATTAGTCCGGGGTAACCGATTGCCACCAGGCAAACTATACCTAAATATGCCACCAGGTGAACTAAACCTAAGGGTACCACGGCCACGTAAAAGCAGATAGGGGCACCACGGCCAAGAAAGGATACTAACTTAACTAATCTAAAGGCACCACGGCCACGCAAAACAGATAGGGGCACCACGGCCAAGAAAAAGAATAGGAAACGTAACTAAACCTAAAGGTTACCCGGAACTCGAAAGATAGTACTAAATTAGACCACTATACGTCCCACGGTACGCCGCTTCGAAGGCTAGCTCATCGGAAGCGTCGCGGCGTTCAAGAGGTAAGGAAGGAAAGAATCCAGCCAAGGACTTATAAGAAAGAGATACGAAAAATTACAAGAAAATAATCCAAATTAATTAGTTAACGCACCAGAGCTGTATTAAGCACAATAGAATTCAAAATAACGCGGGAACTCAATAGCAGAAGTACAAAAACATAGACTCAGGGATTACGGAGGGTGCGAGCGAAAGCCAAGCATAGGTTTACAAAAATCATAAAACTTAATTCACAATCCGTGGTATCTAAAATCGGAAGCTATACAATGCAAAAGAGAATAAGGATCACTAAATATAATTTAGGAGACTATAGACGTAGTCTGCTTATCGGAAAATCTCGGCAGCGATGACGCTGCGCGTGAGCGCGCACACGAGTAAGACACGGGCACGCGGGGCTTGATACTTCTAGAAGACGATATCCACGGAAAACAATACGGTCGAAAGAATCGAATTACTCGGAATAAACTAACAAATTCGTTTTGAAATAAAATAACCAAATAGCGATACTGACGAAAAATCGGAAAGCAAAGAATGGCAGCGGAACGAACTGCGCGGTTCCAATTCTCGCACGCGCGAAGGTATAACCGCGGTCGACAACAGTAATACGAATTAAACAAAATGTACAAAGCAGTATGAACCCGAGAAACCGATGAGACGCGTGGGTTCTTTCACCCGAGCACAAAATCACGATTACAGAAAAATAGCACCAAAGATAGAAAAGATTACAATAAATTAGAACAACATATGGCACATAAAGATATCACAGTCAGAAAAATATAAAGTATTATACCGAGTATTTAATTATCGTTGCGGTGGGAAGATGTTCCCGAAACGGATAGCACAATTTCGAAATCGGCCGAAGGCGCGACGTCGAGGAACGTCAACAAGCAAGGTCGCCTCAGAGGGCGGCTAGCGCGCGACGTCGGAAGGACGTGTGCGATACGCAAAATTCACAAAGGTTCCACCGAGAATATAAAGACGAAATTACAATAAGGTTCGGCAACGATAAACAGATACAGTACATCCTCAATAAATCACAGAAATAAGAACGGAAGATATCGCATACAAAAGTAGAAATATTACATTCGGAATCACACTTCAGCAAAGGCCACGAAAGTTAAGCAAAAACAAGAAAAGAATTTCGTTTAACTTATTTCACTTTGAAAGAGGAAAATAGGCGAAACAGTACGATTCCGAGAAACGTAACTAAACCTAAAGGTTACCCGGAACTCGAAAGATAGTACTAAATTAGACCACTATACGTCCCACGGTACGGAAAAGGTAAGGAAGGGAAGAACTCGGCCAAGAACTTATAGGAAAGAGATGCGAAAAACTACAAGAAAAATAATCAAAATTAATTCGTTAACGCGCCAGAAAGGCTAGCTCATCGGAAGCGTCGCGGCGTTCAAGAGGTAAGGAAGGAAAGAATCCAGCCAAGGACTTATAAGAAAGAGATACGAAAAATTACAAGAAAATAATCCAAATTAATTAGTTAACGCACCAGAGCTGTATTAAGCACAATAGAATTCAAAATAACGCGGGAACTCAATAGCAGAAGTACAAAAACATAGACTCAGGGATTACGGAGGGTGCGAGCGAAAGCCAAGCATAGGTTTACAAAAATCATAAAACTTAATTCACAATCCGTGGTATCTAAAATCGGAAGCTATACAATGCAAAAGAGAATAAGGATCACTAAATATAATTTAGGAGACTATAGACGTAGTCTGCTTATCGGAAAATCTCGGCAGCGATGACGCTGCGCGTGAGCGCGCACACGAGTAAGACACGGGCACGCGGGGCTTGATACTTCTAGAAGACGATATCCACGGAAAACAATACGGTCGAAAGAATCGAATTACTCGGAATAAACTAACAAATTCGTTTTGAAATAAAATAACCAAATAGCGATACTGACGAAAAATCGGAAAGCAAAGAATGGCAGCGGAACGAACTGCGCGGTTCCAATTCTCGCACGCGCGAAGGTATAACCGCGGTCGACAACAGTAATACGAATTAAACAAAATGTACAAAGCAGTATGAACCCGAGAAACCGATGAGACGCGTGGGTTCTTTCACCCGAGCACAAAATCACGATTACAGAAAAATAGCACCAAAGATAGAAAAGATTACAATAAATTAGAACAACATATGGCACATAAAGATATCACAGTCAGAAAAATATAAAGTATTATACCGAGTATTTAATTATCGTTGCGGTGGGAAGATGTTCCCGAAACGGATAGCACAATTTCGAAATCGGCCGAAGGCGCGACGTCGAGGAACGTCAACAAGCAAGGTCGCCTCAGAGGGCGGCTAGCGCGCGACGTCGGAAGGACGTGTGCGATACGCAAAATTCACAAAGGTTCCACCGAGAATATAAAGACGAAATTACAATAAGGTTCGGCAACGATAAACAGATACAGTACATCCTCAATAAATCACAGAAATAAGAACGGAAGATATCGCATACAAAAGTAGAAATATTACATTCGGAATCACACTTCAGCAAAGGCCACGAAAGTTAAGCAAAAACAAGAAAAGAATTTCGTTTAACTTATTTCACTTTGAAAGAGGAAAATAGGCGAAACAGTACGATTCCGATTAGTTAAAACAAAGACGGCGCGTACTCGCCACTAAATTTAACAGAACGTAGGGTTCGGAAGTCTCACAATACTTTTGTAGAAAAGGAATAGTAATTTGTCGGTAAACGATATCTTATAATAATGGGCAAACAATATAATCGGCCGCGCGAGAATCTCGCTATAGAACAATCAAGTCGGTTAATCCGGGGTCAAACACTCTGGCAGACAGATTCCCACGTGTACACTAGGCGAAGATTCCAGAAAATTCGTTAGTTACAAAAGAGTAGCAATCAACAAATTATGTAAAAAAAGCGCAAAATCGGAAACTCAAGAATATAAATGATAACGGCACTATCGTCCTTTATATGATACTAGGTCCAAAGATATTCGCCCGATAACGGCAAAGAAAATTCGTCACCAGCTAAACCGTCCGTTTAGCCGGGCACGTGTCTATAATCTTCAATACAAAAAAATCAGAAGATATATTATAAAAGCGAAAGATCTCACCATAAAATAGAAAAGTTAAAGCGTAAAGCTCAATAGAGTCAGCCCTCTCTCTCTCTCTCTCTCTCTCTCTCTCTCTCTCTCTCTCCGGCAGGGTTCTCATAATTAAGTCATGGTTTTGGACACATTTTATCTGAGGTGGCTTTTTCTAACCTCCACAATTCTTCACGACTTCTCAACTACTTGGCGGCTTCTTTGTTCGCGTATCATCGCACTGATTGGTTGTCCCGGGCATGGTATGCAGACTACAGTGATTGGTGAATACTTGTGGATATGGTCACCTGTACAACCTTCTACATTCTACCGGGTGAACGCTGTCTGTTTGTTCCTGTTGTCATTATCACTAGAGCCTTAAGCTCTATCTCCAACCTCAGTGATCTTCAAGTGACAATAACGTTTGGTCTTCCCCTCCATCTACTTGCGCTCCGCTTGCCTGATCGCTCAGGTGTGCTCACTTCTATACCGCAATATCATAGGATACCAATCTCGTACGTTAGTGTAGCTGTGTGCGCGTGTTCAAGATGCTACCCGTCAACTGTGGGCTCTGCTCTAGATTTGTTGCAACTGAGGAATTATGTAGATTATGTGCTATTGCTACCCATGGATTTCATCCTGCGTGTCTGTTGAAACAGTTACGTGTTGATACTCTTCCGGATTTGAAAGTCATTAACTGTTTTGCGTGCGCTAAAAATGCTGGCTTTACTTATCAGACGCCGAGTGCCACAATTCCTACGTATCATCCTGCGTGTATGTTGAAACAGTTGCGTGTTGATACTCTTACGGATTTAAAAGTTATAAACTGTTTTGCGTGCGCTAAAATCGCTGGCTTTACTTATCAGACGCCAAGTGCCACAATTGCTACGTCATCCCCTGGTACTACGAATACTTGTGCGCAACTT